TTGTGGGGAGATGGAGTAATTTGTTTGCAAAGTTGTGTAAACGGCATAGTTTCACTAAAATGTTCAACAAAATGTGTATTAAAAGTGTATTTATTGTGCAACTCCTCAGATACAAAGAGGAGAGTGACTATGCACTTAAATTTATGGAGAGCAGCTGGAAAGATATGCAGAGCGAAGAAGCGAGGAGGTAAATAAAAAGTTTTCATACTGCATGTGCATTTGCCACTGCATTTTATTTGTAGTGCTTTAATTCATCATTATCTGCTCTGCCACTTCAGCTTGAGAATGGCCGTTCAGGAAGATCTGGAGGAGGAGAGACGAGAAGAAGAAGAGCTGAAAAGACAGAAGGCCAAGAGGAAAAAACCCAACTGAAGCTCCACTGCTGTTCTGACAAAGTTCCTTAGTGTTGTGTGAATGATGGGACAGTGGTTCTGCAATCTTAATAGTGAAAGCCCAGAATCCACATCAGCACATGTTGGTTTTTTTTTACTACCTGCTGTCCAGATTAAGGAGACGTTCTAGTAAAAGACGACACAAAAAAGACTTTGTACAAGTCATTCAGGCATTAGGTCATAAAGTATATTTAATTTAAAATTTTCTCCTGTTTTGTTAGTTTTTTCCTGGTCCTACAATAGTCCTAATCTGTACAAAGTTGAGCTACAACATCTAAATATGTGAAATAAAACTTTTATTGTTAACGATAACACACAATGACAGGTTGGATTTTTTTCCCCACTTTTTTTAGCTGAGGTTCTTGAATATATTTTCAAACTTCTCTTTTCAGCTTTTCCCTCTTCAGGGGTTGCCACAGCGAGTCATCCTCCATCTCAAACAATTACACATGACTGAGAAATGTGCAGAAAACTTTACAATTTCATATTTTGTGTAAAATCATTTGAATTATATAATGGCATAAAGGATTTAATTGTATTTTTCTGTCAGTTTTTGACTCTTATTATATATGTAATTTGGCTTCCTTAACCTTGACAAGTTTTTTTATTGTAAAAATAGTCAAATATAGTTTTCTTATAAGATGTATATTCATATTTGAGTTTATTTTTCCCTCGTTGCTCACCTACATTGTGAATTGATCACACAGTGGAAAGGATCTTCTAACCACATACCCATAGTTAATTAGTTTCCATGTCAAAATGAGCATTTCAACTTTCTAGAACGTCATTTGTCTTACCCAACATCAACATTTCAGAATATTTCAAATAGCATTCCTCCTAGGACAAATGGTTCCACTCTTATTTGAGTATTGTTTTTCACATGGCTAACATCAGAAACATGGTTCCTACTTAAAGAAACTTGCATTTCACATTTATAGAATCCCATAGTTACAAAAGTGTTCAGTTTTACATGGCCAAAATGATTTTTTTTTTTTTTTCACATTTGAATGTCAACATGTTCTGAATATTAAGGGATTACAAAACACTTAATTGTCTTAGTAATATTTCAATTTCAAATATCCTCGGTATTCATTTGAGCTAGGAAGCTGTAGTTGTGGATATGTTAAAACTGAAAACCTAATGGGGGGGGGGGGAAATGCTTTTTGGAATTTTACTTATATTAAGAATTAAGATTGTTTATTATTATTGTTGTTGATTAAATTGAGATTAAAAATGGGAAGAAAGTCTTGTTACTAAAAATATTTTATAATATTAGGGGGAAAAATATATATTTGCCATACACCTATCCAGCAAATCAATAAAACCGACACTTGGTCATTTTAAAGATTTTTAGAATGTAATGGGTTAAAAAAAAAAAAACATTTCATCTTTCATCCGAGAGACTTCTTCAGTCAGAGGAGCTGTACTGAGCTCAGTTTTATAAATAGCACCTTCTCATAGTAGATCAACCAGTTTGTTGACATTCAAAACTAGCTGGTCACATGCTCAAGCCATCAGCCTAAAAAAATGGCTCGTTAGTGCCTTGATGGCTGCTTGCTATTCACAGGGGGCTGTGATATTACTAACCATAACATTTCTATATATTTTTTTACCTTTTGAACCCATCCAGAGGACCTGATTTTTCTACCTGGATTATTCGTTCAACCTTTATTTATACAGGTTAATGCCACTGAGCCTCGGGGACTCATTTACAAGAGACGCCTGATTTTAATAAAGAGTGATGATAACAACAGACAGTCATAAAGGATGCATACAAATTGAGAATAATAAGTGAAAATAACATGGTGTTAAAAAAGGAGGGAAAAAAACAAAGTTTGTAAGGTGATGTAGAAAACTAAAAACAAGAACATCTGCATTGGTTTTCCCCATGAATTTAGCAGATGCTAGTTGAAGCTTAGAGAAGTCGAGGGCTTCAGATCTTATTGAGCATGCACCAGGATATTTTTAGAATGAGTTTTCATGAGTATAACTACAATTCTGGCGAACATAAAATTATTATTTTATTTTCCATAATGTATTTTAGACATGTCCAATTAAAAATTTTCAATAAAGAGTCTCTTAACTAGGAAGAATGTCAGTTCTGCTTCCTTTAAAGATCTTTCCTTCATACCCTTCATTTCCCAAATACTTGAAAAAGTATTCACCTAAAAAAAAAAATTCAGATCTCTCTTGTAAATGAGATTCCGAGACTCAATGAGATTAACCTGTATAAATAAAAGTTTAATGAAAAAAAAATTTTGTGGAGAGCACTGGTTTGATTAAATGTTAAAACGGCTTGCCATAAAATTACGGTGACAAATGGGCGGAGTTTGACTCGATCGGTGACGTAAGCGCCTTTTAGCTTCCCTTTGGCTGCTCCTTCGAAGTTTGCGGAAGTTTATTTATTGAGCCGAAGTTAAAGAATATCAAAACCAAGAGAGAGTCGAGTGTTTGTTTTGTTCTAATTTTTTGTATCTATATAGATGGATCTGAAACCAGAGAAAATACAGCGGATCCTCGCCAAGGTCAGTCATTTTACAAAAGAGCAACTTGAAAACTCTTAAATTAAAACTAATTAATAAAAGCCGGTTAGCATCGCAGGCTAGTTTATGTTCGTCGCTGCCATTCTCATGTAACTGGCAGAACCAGCTCTGTTTCCTCTACGTCAGGGAGAAAGTCAAAAACAAGATGAACATAATAAAACAAAACTGCTACTTTATACAAGTAATCTGATATGGACTGAAACCAGTTCCTTGGGCTGTTTGACATCGTTTACTTTCAAATGTGAATGTTTTTTTTTAAATCTTGTAATAAAATTTCATTCTAGCTGTAGTATTTGTAAGTCAATACACATGAAAAGGAGTATTTGTTTAATAATAATGCATTATTAAGCCATTTTTGATTTTAAAAAATAAATTCAAAGCAACATGTAAAGTAAAATAATCTGAGCTACTCTGTAAAAACAAATTGTTGAAATTAAACCAATCATATGTGTGTAATAATTTGTATGTACTTGATTTGTGTAAATTATAAACAATATTTTTACTTTAAAATTACTTTAATTAGCTGAATGGCACCTAAATCAGTTAATTTCCTACCAATAATAGATTTGTAATTTGTTAAATGGGGTTAAATTGAACTTGAAAAATAATTCAATAAAGCAGTTTAGGAATAGTAGATGTTAAAAATCAATTGAATTGGGGGCTCATCTCAGAGTAAAGGTGCTTTCAGGATTATATCCAACACAAATGTAAAAATGATCCTGCCAGATTTGCTTTAACAAACAAACAAACAAACAAAAAAAGTCAATCTAAAATTCAACCCTGTTTTTGAGTCTTTAAGTTTCTCTGAAAAAAAAAAAAAAATGCAGAGAAACTTTTCATCCACACAACTTTCAATTGCTTGTTTTTTTTCTAGTACAAGTTTCATGATTTGGCTGTAGAGGAGCTGCAGAAAATCCATCGACTCTTCCCTGAGATGAAACCGTCCACGGGCACATACAGTGAGTTTCTGTGCTCCGTTCACCTCCGTTAAGTTTCACATCCGTTATAAAAAGTGACAGTAATTGTTCTGGATTTCAGCGTTCACTGACAGCAGCCAGAAAGATCTCGTGAAATTAACCGGAGTCATTCCTGTGAAGTACGAAGGTAAGGCTGATGAAATGTCTTCACATTTATTGAAATCTTTATGCCTAATTAAATTACTCCAGAATGAGTATCGTGCATGTTTTAATAGCAGCCCCTCTGTTGCTAAGGTCGCTCCTACAACTTCCCCATCCAGCTGTGGCTTCTGGACTCGTTTCCCTTCACTCCTCCTATATGTCTCCTGAAACCCACCTCTAACATGGTCATCAGAGAGGGCAAGCATGTGGACGCCAGAGGACGGATCCACCTGCCTGGACTCCACACCTGGGACTATGTGAGATATATTTTTTTAAACACACATTTCTGTGCTGACGTCGTCATCAGGTCTTTCTCTGCTCTGCAACAGCCCAAGTCATCAGTTGTTGGTCTTCTGAAGGAGATGAGTGTCAAGTTTGAAGAGGATCCACCGTTGTCCTCAAAGACTGCGGGGGACAACAAAGACCCCCATGAGCTGCTGGCGTTTGTCTCTAATCTCAAGCTCAGTGATGGTGCTTCACTCGCTCGGTGGCTTTTATACTGACGGCCATTAATAAAAGACTAATAACGTTTGTTGTTTTTAGGTGGAGTCGGACATCAGGATCAACAGTTGATGAAAGTTTCAGTAATCGGCGGCGGAGATTTAGGAATGGCATGTGTGATGAGCATTTTATCAAAGGTATTCACCGTTTTATTCAAGGATTTAAGATGTTATAGCTTTAATGGGAAAAAAATCAACGCTTTTCATTTTGTTTTTGCAGTGTAATGTGGATAAACTTGTTTTCATTGACGTTGCTGAAAGCTCCACCAAGGGTGGCAGTACAGACCTAGAGATTTTTAGTGTCCCGCAAGTGGAGGTATCCAAAGGTGCATCACTTTTTTTTTTTTTGGGGGGGGGGGGGGGGTCATGCTGTGACTCTTGTGACTGTACCTCATGACTCATCAAAACGGTGCCTGTCTGAGACAAAATATATGTTTTCTTAATCCTGATAGAACAATATACTTAATCTTTGTGTTTCTGCAAAAACTGATGATGTTTTGGACATTTTGATAGATTTATCAGCTTCGGCTGGCTCCAGGGTTGTTGTGGTAACGGCAAACGCTTGGAGCGGCGAGCAGTCGTATGTCAGCGTGGTTCAGACTAACGTGGATTTGTACAGAAAAATAATCCCAAAACTGGCCCATCTCAGCCCAACTGCTGTAATGCTCATTGCATCACAACCAGGTCAGTAGCAAAAGCAGACACTCCTTTAAAACCCTTTTCTTGCTCTCTTTAAATAAACTTTTTTATTGTTTTTAAATCCAGTGGACATCATGACACATGTTGCCTGGAGACAGAGCGGCCTTCCTCCAACACATGTGATCGGAGCAGGTTGTAATCTGGACTCGGAGCGGCTTAGTTACGTTCTGGATATTAATCTGAATACGCACAAACCTGCATGGGTCATAGGAGAACTATCAGACAACAAAGGTGAGCCAAAGAACAGTTGAATGTTTACACGTGTAAAGTGATAAGAGTACGTGTATGTTTACACAAATGCTTCTATGGAAGCCCTGAAAGGCAAAAAAGGAGAAACACAAAGGGTCAGACTTTGACTCTTCTATAATAAAAAAATCTATTTTCTGAAAAACAACAAAAATGGTTGACTCATCAGTTGATGCTAAAGTTTTAAGCAAACATTTTGCACAATAAGCAGCGTCAGCTACTACTACACCATATTTTATCACAATATGTTAAACGGACTGAATTATAGGATTATTTATGTTTGCTAAGGTCTACGACAGTCATCTTGAATGTGGTTGACTCTAAAGATCTAAAGTTGTAGGTGTACATCCAAGTTGCACTAAATAGATGTAGTGGTTCCTGAGATATTTTGCCAACACACAAAAACATCACTTCCTGCCTTTTGCAGGAATTCAAAATCAAAAAAAGAACTGTTGAAAGATTATATGGACATTGCACAATCTGAATGATTTTTAGCCCATTTCCTTTTTAAGAGTTTCCATTTTTATCTCTTTTGTTAGTCATCCTTGTCTTGTGTTCAGAACTGGTCGAGTTGCAGCACCAGCTAATCTTGTATGTTCTTCACGTGAAAGCTAACTGTTGGTGACGTGTTGTTAAGCCCTTACATGTTTTTGTCCCTGCAGTGTCTGTGATGAGTAACGTTGGGCTGAGCTCCAACGGAGCACTTGAGATCGCACCGGGATCCAGTACTACCAAACCCCTCTTAGACAGGTACTTAAACTACTTTCACCTCACGTTAAAAGATTCAGTTTATGGCTTCAGGACATTTTAATTTAATGAGATGATTAATTTACTTAACATGAAATAGGCACGTTGTTTGTACATTTAAAAATCTTGTTTTAATGAGAAGTTTTCCATTTTAATCAAATGTATTTTTTAATTTATTTCTGACTTTAACGCCTGCAGAGCATTTCAGCTCATAAAAAATCGAGGTCAGAGGTCGTGGTCTGTGGGCCTTTCCACCGCTGACATCACCAACAGCATCTTGACGAATAAGATGAAGGCACACTCAGTCTCCACCTTGGCTCAGGTAGTTTGACCAATTAAAACAACAACCAATTCTAACAGACTCATGTAGTTACATGGATTTTAACCAAATATGTATTTTTTTTGTAGGGCTGGGGTGGCATAGGTGCAGAGGTGTTCCTGAGTCTGCCTTGTGTAATGGGAGCAAACGGATCAACACGCCTGGCTGGAGTATCGCTGGGACAGGAGGAGGACTCGAAGCTCAGAGAAAGCGTCAGCTCTCTCTCAGACCTCATGAGTCAGCTCAGGATATGACTGTTCCGAGGGGTGTGGGAGCTGCTGCTACAAAATGACACGGTTACTCTGGAGTCAACGTGCAATTAAAGTTACTTATTTATATGATGGATGGACAGAATTCATGCCGAAGGTGCAAACAAAAGTAGTTGTAAAGATGTAAAAATAAATAAAAACTTGTTTGTTTTGTAGTAAAACACTAAGCAATTATCAGTTAATTAAACGATCAACATTTTCTCATGTTACACGGGTGATTTTATTTTCTGTGAAATGTATAAAAAAAATAGCAATATTTGCATTTTTAAGCATATAGCTATATATACTTTATCTCAAAATGCAAGGAATTGTTAATCAAGATGTTAACTGGTGATGTATTTAATTTGCAGTACAGGGTGCTGGCTTTAAACCAGTAAAATGCCCCATCAAGTGCAGCTTGTGCATCGGCTTCCTAATGAAAGGTGTTTAAAACATGACTAATTACTTTATGTAAAAACACTTTCCCATAGCTTCAAATGAAGTCACTTGAGATTTGTACATAATGTAGAACATGAATGTGGGTGTGCAATAAAAGTCTGAAAGCGGTATTAGGATTGGCTGATTAACAAAGATGTATCTAAAGCTATTTTTTAACTCTAGTTGCATAAATGTAAAAAAAATTCTAGTCTGAATTTGTCTCCACGATGAAAACCAAACTCAACTTTGATGTGCAGTGATGTGCGATTTTTAGTCTCATCAACCTCCAGCGTGCCCAGACCGCATCATCTTGTGAGTCCATGCAATGCACCATCAGTTTGTCCTTAAGCAATAATTTGCAATTCAATGAAGGAAAACAAGCTGCAAAAATCTGTTTAAATTGGCAAATGTCAGTGCAAAAGACAATACAGATATTTGAACACAATATGGTATAACTTGAACTATATATAAATATATATATATATGGTGAACTATGCATTAGATCTTACAGATATATTAAGGCTCAACTTCTATTAAAGAAAAACAAACATTTTCTTTAAGCAAATGTACATCAAAATCACCGTAATGGCTCTGAAAAAAGACAATAAGCTTTGAATACTTTTGCTGCCTGATCTGTAACAATCTTTTTTCCACAGATGAGCATCATGGTTATTGTTAAAGGCAGAAATTGTTCATCATTAACGGATCACTGTATGGATAAAGAAATACGACTTCAATTTAAAGTTTAAACTCTGTAACGGTCCATCTCTGGCCACTAGATAGAGCTACAATTGTTTTTCCTAACAAAGACTGTGCCACTTATGTTACATTAACTTTTTAATGTTAACACATATGCACAATATATTATTTCTGTACAACCCACAATCACATGTAAAGCAATATGAAAAGGGCTTTGAAAGAAAACAATTTAACACACACACTGCAGAACACACACTGCTAACTGACCTAAGGCATCAATGTTTGGGTTAGTATTTCCATTCATAATGTATTGCACCATTTTTCACCACTGCTGGTAGTTATAACTTGAAGAAATCCTTTTTTAGTTTCACAAACACTTCACATGGCATTAGTGGGGGGGCCTCAGTTGTCAAGTATGAAGCTAAACTTTAAGAGCTGTAATGAGTTTCTCAGAGTTTGCAATAAGCCAGCTCACTGTTTACCATGAAGTCCTGAAAATGGATTTACAAGTTGATTACCTGGCAGCCTAAAAGCCCTTATGTTGCTATACTCAGTGCACCTTGGTAAGCGTGAAACACTTTGTTGGAACAAAATGAAAATAACTAAAGACTGAGCAATGGGGTCTTGTGCAGGTGGCATCAGATAAAGGTTTTTGTCTGCGGTTCTGCATAGCATCAGTCAAAATGAAACCAGTTGTGGTCACATGAGTAACCAAGAGCAGTCTACATATTACAAACGCTCCATGTGGTCAATAATAAAGACATACGTTTGACATCACTTCCCTTACAAAGGGCAAGCAACTGTTAGAGATCTGTTCAGTAGATGTGCATGAAAAGTCCTTTCACTGATGCACACAAAAACCCTTTGACGACCTGAAGAGCTACTGGCCTTTCATCTTGTAGGTGGCTTTGGAAATCAAAGCAATATTAAAGAATCCACCTCACGTTAGCATGAACACAAACATTGAAAGTTATCAAAAAGTTATAGACTTTGGCAGCTTCTGTCCACCAGGAGGAGTCCTACAAAAGTCTGGGCTGGACTGAACCAGGACCACACCTACTGGTGACTGTCCTGAGCACCTGGAGGGACCTGAGGGAGACCTTGTATACAACAAAGGTGCTGGAAAAGCAGAATGGTCTCTGGGGCCTCTGGAAAAATTCTTGGAGTAGACTGGTGATGCAGCTGTGTGTGTGTCTGAACAGGTGGCGGTGGTACACTGAAATGGAACAAGTCTGTCAGCAAAACTGGGTGGAGGAGAGTGAATAATTGAATTCTCCACCCAGCTGTCCTCGCCTCTATATTCTGGCTCTTGAGGCAAGCTGGGGAGAGCGCACATTGCAGTAAGAACAGGGGATGGAGATGGAGGAATGAAGACAGGAGGTGGAGGCACAGGGTAGAAGGTAGGGTCATAGTTTCTGTCAGTGGTATAAGGTGGGACGCTGTGCATGCTGGGATTCTCCTCAGGAGTTGAGGCCAGCAGTCTCTCCACTAAGCGATCGTCGTCATCTGCCTCAGAGAGGTTGTCATACTGGGAGGTGTTGGAAGGCCGTCTGTCTCCCATGGACGCAGGGACGTAGAGGGAAATTGGGAACTTTGTTGGTTTTGCGGGCAGAAGTCTGGGAGAGTAAGATGAGGATGATGTGCAGGCGGAGTGAGGAGGACTTTTTCTCTTTGTGCCATTGACAGAAAAAGGTGGTTTTGGACTCGGTTTGGGGGATGCCTGCATCTGTGTGACCAGTGGTGAGGTTGATAGAGGGGAAGGAGAGCGACGTTGGATATCCGAGCCAGTCGTGGCCCTCAAGGTAGAAGACTCATTTTTCAGAGACCTTTGCTCACTCTGTTCAGGGAAGAAGGGTGGAGGTGGTAAGTCTGGAAGGTCCTTGATTTCCTCTTCAGTCTGCATGGTAATAGTGTCTAAAGCAGAAGGTTCATACGGTGGAGGCCAATCCATAAACTCCTCTTGGGACTCTGGCGTATTTGTTTGGTTCTTGTGATTTTTATCATTTATGCAAACCTCTGGGAGCAAGTCCTTTGTGTTGCTCACCAACCCTACTTTAACAGTGGGCTTGTTTGCTTTAGGGAGTAATGGAGGCACTACACAAGACCTCAGGGAGGAAGGTGTTCCTTGCATCTGGACATCGATGTCCAATGAAGGCGTGTCTGGTCCAGAGAGACTTTTTGAATTCTGGGATTCTGTGGAGGAAGGAGTTTGTTGCAGAGTGGAGCCACCTGTTTGGCAGGTCTCTGTAATGGACTTGTTGTTAGCCTGCAGATTTACTTTGACCTCCACAGGTGAGTCAGACTGCAATGGCACAAGAACTGGTCTCTCCTGACCCAGAGGCTTCTTTGGCAGCTCATCCGACTTGGCTAAAAAAATCCAAACAAAGCAACAACAAAAAAAAGTTAATAGATTTCTAGTGTATTTTAAAAAGTCCAACAAATTACACTTGTCACATGAGATAGTAAATGTAAAAGATGTCACTTTGGTTACTTATATCTCAGATATTCTTTAATTTTTGTCACATTTTCAGAACTTTCTCATAATTATGCAAAAAGAAAAAGAAAAAAAAAGTTTTACAAATTTTTAAGAATCAATGCTCTTCAAAGTCTTTCAGGAAAAAAACAGGTTAATGAATCAAGAAATAAAAACTCCTACTGCACCTGGAGGAGGTTGATCCAGTTTTTTACTGCGCAGTTCTGACATTGAAGCCTGTAAATGTTCAATCACCCCATCGTCAGAAAAGAGGAAAGAATTAGCCATCTGCTCCTGAAGAAACTCCCTCAGGTCCTCCAACTGAAACTTCATCAGGCGCTCTGATTACAGACATAAAGCAAACATCAAGAAGGATAAGCATCACTTCATTTATGGAATATAGTGAACTACAAATTAGAGCTGGTTTGCCAATGATGGTAATTTAATTTTACGATTAAAAAGGCAAAAAACTGGAACATTTGTTCTGTAGTTGAAGACGTTTTGAATTCCATCCTGGGAGTTAAACTTCTCAAGTCAAAACTGGAGAGTGTGGACTTCCAAGCTTTAAGCTGCACGAGATGCTTTGATGTGCAGGATAGCTTGCACAACAACATGAAACACTGTCAGTGCATCCAATGAAAAGTCAGCTCTCCATTTTTCTCCTCAGCAACTACCGCTCTTATTATGTAAGCCATCCAGCGAAGATGCAGCCGACTGAGAGGAGGTGCGTGGTGAAATCCACACAGTAACGCTCAGTGGTGTAGCAACAGCCAGCATTGCTACATCTGGGCCACAGAGTGACTTGCTTGATTTAACACAGCACAAGTGGAGACAATTTACGGTAAATGGCTTTGTTCTCACTTTTGTGTAACTTGAGGATTGTATAGGCCATAGCAGTTAGTATCTTCTCTCCTTCCAATATGTAGATATCCCATAAACGTAATGTGAGAGTGAAAGGGGTCTGTTAGATAAAAAATAAACAGTCAATATAAAAAAAAAAATGGCAAGATGTGGCAATTCATTCTGCTCAGGTTGAAAAGGCCTTAAAAAATCTTAGTACTCACTCTGTCAATAAAGCACTGGAGAAACCATTTGGTGGTGTAAATCCCTGTTGTCATCTGCTCTTTGTCCTGTGGAGGACAAGGAACAAGGAGCTGATTTTGTGAGAAGCTGCTCCTTGAAGTTTGTTTTAGCTAGACATCACTTTCTAAATAATCTTGGATTAACAGTAACATCCTCTTCATGTGGCCCAACGTGTTCAACATAAGTAATGAACATCATATGATGAGCAGCAGCGCTCGAGCATCAGTACTGTTAACTCACCAGGTGTTTCTTCAGCTTGGGCAGCATACTGGAGAGGATGAGTTCGTGGTGAGCCTGGAAGCGTTGCAGCTTGGGAAATCCAGGGATAAAAAACCCTAACAAAGATTAAAAGGGAAATTAAATTAAAACCAATAGATTAGAAATGCTGACAATGTGTGTGGTGGTTGAAGCTGAATCTACAAATAATAGATTAAAATAAACAATTTAATCTCAAACCACGTCTCATTTATCCTTTTTTATTGTAAGTAAGTAAACTTTATTTATATAGCACTTCATGGATAAAAATCACAAAGTGCTTTACAGAAATGCAGATACAGGCTTAAAATAAAACAAAAATAAGAGCAGCTGATAAAAACAGTAAAACATTTAACTAAAAGCTTGTCTGAATTAAAATGTATTGAGTTGCTTTTTAAAGGACTCAACAGAGACGGCCACACGAAGAGACAGGGGCAGGGCATTCCACAGTCGGGGGGCTACAGTCTGAAAGGATAGGACACCCCAAGTTTTAAACCGGGTCTTAGGGACCTTTAGGAGGTTCAGTGCTAAAGACCAAAGGCTGCAGGCTGGAGAATAAGGAGTCAACATTTCAATGATGTACTGGGGGCCTGTCCATTTAAAGCTCTAAAAGTCAAAACTAAAATTTTAAAATTAATTCTAAATTCAACAGGTAGCCTGTGAAGAGAAGATAAAACTGGTGTAATGTGACCTCCTATTAGTTCCTGTTAAAAGCCTTGCAGCAGCGCTCTGGACCAACTGAAGACGAGCGACAGCAGATTTGCTAAAACAAGTAAAAAGGGAATCACAATAATCTAAACGAGAAAAGATAAAAACATGAATGATCATCTCCAGGTCAAATTTGGATAACATTACCCTCAATTCAGAAATATTGCTCAAATGATAAAAGCAGTTTTTTACCAGAAGCTTTAAATGTTTGTGTAAGGACACGGACTGGTCGAACAGAACACCGAGGTTTCTGAGGCTCAGCTGAGAAGAGGAGCCCAGAGAACCAAGTGTTGCTTGATCCAAGGAACTTTCTGTTCAGGAGCAACGATCAGGCTTTCAGTCTTGTTAGAATTTAACTGAAGGCAGTTTTTAGCTAGCCATGCCTTAATATGGGAAACACAGTTTACTAATTCAGCTAACTTGTGTAATTTTGCATCATAGAAGGAACAATACAGTTGAATGTCATCAGCATAGAAATGGTAAGACACATTATTGAAGCTACTGATAATCTTTCCAAGGGGGCTGAGGTATAAAAGAAACAGAATAGGATCTAAGACTGAACCCTGAGGAACACCATACAATAACGGAGTGGTCTTAAGACTGTATGTTATTCACACACATGGAAAAAAGGTTCTGTTGCTCAGATAAGGGGAAAACCACTTAAGAACAGTTCCAGAAACTCCTAACTCATTTTGCAGTCGATATAGCAGAAATTTGTGGTCGACTGTAATCCTTTTAAAGACTTGAATCAGCTTTTGTCTACCGCTCTTCCTCTGTCTCACCATGCATGGAATGCTTGCTGTTGGTGAGGAGCTGAGATAAAGCCCAGAAGGCATCTTCCTCATTCAGGTACATGAGCAGGATGGCAGCAATCTGACTCATGCCCTGGCAGTAGCTCACCTCCTGGTAAAGATAGATGACAACAAAGCTCAAGGTAAACAAAATAGCCCATGCTCTAATAAATTATAGTCATTTGTATTTGCCTAAGTGTTATGTAGGGTATGTAGTGTATGTCTAATGTAATCTGAAGTCAGATTATGAAAGTGTGTGGTTTTAGTGTGCTTGAGACGCAGCAGCAACATTTCTCCTGTAAACACCTTTACCCAAAACAGTTAGCCACAAACACATTCTCAGTATAGTCATGTTTTAAACTTGAATTTATGCCAAGCTGACTTCAGAATAATTCACTTGTGTACACTAAACTAGCCCTAGGCTAACATAGATGCACAGACACACATGTAGTATTTGTCCATATTAAGGCAAATTTACTTTGCAAAAAGAAACAGACATTCAAAAGTATCCTTTCAAGGAAGTACGGTAAATATAATTGGGGTTAAAGAGAGGTTAAACAACACATATTTCACATTCCTCTTTACCGTCACATACGTGAAAAACACAAACATCCCTTCTCTACTTCTGCTTTCCTCTTTTGGCTCTCCTACTGACCCAATTTCTTTTGAGCACTTTGAGGAGAGGGGAAAAAGGAAAAAAGGGGGAAACACATGCCCATTTCCTCTGGCTCAAACCTTTCTGCCACAGAGGAATGACTACTGAATTTAGAAAGAAAATCCCCATCATGTACGAGTGTAGGTTAGTATTCTGTTCAACAGTGTTTTATTATAAGTGGTCATATTACAAATCTGCTTTTTCTTAATTTTTGTGAACATTCTGCCACATTTTAACCAAAACTGTGTAAATTTGGTGAACAAATAGTCCAGGATTTTTTTTTTTGTTCACTCATATTAACCCTAATAGCACATTAAAGTATTTTTGTCAAGCAAACAGCAGTTAAGATTACTATAAGAAATATTTATTCAGTTTAATAAATAAAAAAAGTTGAATTACTTACTAAATTGTCTTGTTATACATCTAAAAGCATTTAATCACAATGTGACTTTTTTATCTGCACACAGGCCAGAAGATTTATCAAAGAAAGAAGAAACACCCTTTTTGTGCCTCAGTCTCTCTTTTAATCTTACTTGGGCCCACTGGAACAATCTAATCGAACTATGGTGGATACATGAGGTCTTTTCAAATAAAACAAATTGTGGTTTTCAAAAACAATATTAAAAATGCAAAATTACAAATAAAAATTAGGACATGCAGACGATACTCAAAAGATGATTAAAAACCTAAGAGCAAAAAAAAGGGCTCACATAAAAACAAAAAAAACAAACAAACAGGTAATGCTCTGGATTGTTTTTAATTAAGAAAGACTAATACACTATAATTATTTGAAGTATACAGACGAGCTTAGTTTAACAATGTGAACATGAATGGGGGATCACCAATATTCTGATTGTAACACTCGGATGCAGCACCTTCAGGCTGAGCCACAATCATAAATAAAAGATCTCACCCGAGGCTCTGAACTATAGTGAGAACAGATTGGGGGTGGGGGGGGGGGGGTATGCCTGGCCTGCTCTCTGCTGTACAGAAACCAGCAGAATGGATGAACTACCGGTAAGAGCTGTTGTGCCACAAACGTTCTTTTGAAAGGCGGGTGTGCACAAAACTTTTTCATATTATGCAACGTTGCATTAGGAATGTGCACATTTTTCCACACACAAAAACGTACCGTGTTGTAGACAGAGTAAGCTGCCAGCACATGAAATAGAGCTTGTTGCCTGAAGAATGAACAAAAAAAAAAAATCAGAATGAAAAATAAAAAACAGTTAAAAACAGGGATCTGATTCCTGAACAATAAATATGCAAGTATTCAAAGAGGATCCTACAAAACTATTTTAGGGAATCAACAGTTTAAAGTAATCAGTCAGCAGCATTTTAAAAAGAATCTTTAGCTCTGTTTATATATCTATAAGCAGATGTTGCACAAAAAAATCATTTACATTATATTATAAATATATACATACATATTATTATCATGGTGAAAGTTACTAATAATATCCTCATGGCCTCTGACAATGGACAGGTGTCTACACTGGTCCTGTTAGATCTCAGTGCTGCATTTGATACAGTTGATCACAATATTCTACTACAGAGACTTTAATATGATATTGGGATTACAGGAACTGCTCTAAACTGGTTTAATCTATCTGATAGATTCCAATTTGTAAATGTAAATAATGAATCTTCTTCATACACCAAAGTTAGCCATGACGTTCATCAGGGTTCAGTGCTTAAACTATATGCTTCTATTAGGTAACGTTATTAAACAGCATGGGATAAAGTTTCATTGTTATGCTGATGATACACAGTTATATTTGTCCATGAAACCCAATGAATCCAATCAGCTACTTAGACTATGTGCATGTCTTAAAGACATAAAAACCTGGATGACCCTAAATTTTCTGCTTTTGAATACAAATAAAACTGAGGTTTTGGTTTTTGGACCTGAGCACCTTAGAAATATTTTTTTCAGTCTTTTGCCCTCCTTGGATGGCATTAATCTGGCCTCCAGTTCTAATGTTAAAAATCTTGGTGTTATTTTTGATCAGGACATGTCTTTTATCCCCCACATTAAAATCATTACTAGAACTGCCTTCTTCCACCTGTGTAATATTACTATAGTTAGGGTTGGCTTGTTATGCTGCTATAGGCTTTGACTACTGGAGGACAAACTTACCTCATTTCCTTAAATGAATTGTTAAAACTGAATAATTTTCATTTGATACTATTACTATCTTAACGTGATTCTCGACCTGCCATTGTGTATCTATTCCTCCTTCCTGTTCAAACCCAGCCAGTCAAAGCAGATGACCACTTGTCCTGAGCCTCGTTCTGCTAAAGGTTTCTTCCTCATGGGGGAGTTTTTCCTTTTCCACTGTTGTCTTTGTGTTTGCTCAAGATGAGAGTTCTGTGATGGAGTTAAATTCAAAGCAGTCTGCTCCTCAGATAAATAATGTTAACTTAATTTTTATATATATGAATGTTCCTGTTCAGTGCCCTGAGATGACTTCTGTTGTAACTTGGCACTATATAAATAAACTGAATTGAATTGAATATACGCTTCCAAAGCTCACATCTTTTATACGGTTTCCATAACTGGAGAGTGTGGCTTTGTTCACCTGATTACATCTGGAGATTTAACAGTTTCAGACAGTGAGCACAAGGCACCCATTGTGTTTGTATAAATGTGTGTGAGCAGGGCATTAACAAATATAATATAGAGAGGATGTCTCCCCTCCAGGCCTCCATAATAAAAACATGTCCTAATAGACAACGGCAGAGACAGGAAAGGCGCTTTAAATAGCTGTCAGTGTCTCTGTGTGAGTAAGACAGCTGTGGACTGGCAGGGACAGAGCACAGCGGAGCAGGATGAATTAGTGTTTTGGTTTGTTTGGGCTCAGTGGCTTTGAATCGAAGGGGAAGTACATCACAAAGAGAAAGAAAAGATCTCTCTAAAACACTTGAGATATGCTAAGTAGCTTCTCAACAACTGTCCCAGACACATGCAATATTTGTTCAAGACGATTGTGTTTTGAAGGTTGTTTAATGTATTTTTAATGTATCCTGATGCATGCTCAATTTATTTGTTATGATATTATATATATATATTTATGGTATGGGTATTTTTAATGTAATTAGTTTTACACATTTGTTTGTTTCAGTGTTATTTTGCACACATGTACCGGTACTTTTGATAGTGTAGGTCCCGTTTGAATGCCATTTCCTGTGGGGCTTTGTGCATCGACAGGAAGGCTAATAAAATGCTGAGAGAAGGAAACCACCACTCTGCTTTTGTGCAAGTGTGTAATGTGTGTGTGGCTACTTCAAGGTTTAGATCAGAGGTCACACCCTGCAGGAGTCTCAGCGAGTCAAATTTGTACATGTGTTGAGTACCAGAAAACAAAAGCATCTTATCTAACATGCAAGCAGTCAGGGGAAAACTAATTTAGGGAAAAAATCTAAACAGTAATGATGTTTGTGTGTTTGGAAAAATCCCTAAGACGGGTGCTTAAGATAACAGAATTTCTAGGGTGGGTCTCAAAGCAAATACATAAATGGTTGACCAACGAGGCATTACTGGAAGATAAACTACACAAATCTGTAAGTCAGTGACATAATCTGTTGATGTAGTAGTAACTACAATAGCCCTGAGCTCCGCACTGAACTTTCTAGACATAAATGAAGATATTTAAAGTTTATGAATCTGAGATTCTTGATGTTCACCAATGTTGAAATATTTATAATTAAACAAAAGGATTTAGAGTCTGATAGCTGTGGGACTTATATATTAACAATGGATTATAGACATTTTTCTGTTTGGACAGTCTCACGGTATTGATCTCCTGTTAGCAATATTGAAACGTATGCTTCTCCATCAGAACTCACTTGACTCCAAAGCGATCCATGAACATGATGTGGTTCCTGAAGGTTCTGTTGACATCCAGGTCTATCTGCTTGATCTCTGTTGAGAAGCTACGAGCTTGCTGCTTCATTTTCTGGGGAATGGACGTCACAACTATTGCAAAACTAGGCAGCAAAACTAATTTAAACTTTTATATAATATTTAAAGATCACTAGCTATTGTTGTCAATGAAAAAATGTCGTACCTCATATTTTCCTGTATTTTCTTGCTTAACTTTTTCTATGTCCAAAAGCAAGGCCCAAACTTGGCCTCTCAACTGGAGAGGTATACCTTTAAACACACGCTTCACCAACTGAAACATAAAAGACAAATAAAAGGGACATAAAGAAACGTCAACACAAGAGGCAGGGATTCAAGTATAAATGCTGCAATATGGAGAACAGTCTTAACTCTTGAAGGGCTAGAACTCATTACTTGTATTCATATTTTTGTTTCAAGTCCCCAGAGCACAGAGGGGAAGGAAAAAATAGCTATTCCTAAATTAGGAATGGAAAACAAATTAAATACAGAAACAGAAATATAATTTGACATAACAGATCAGGAAAAACGAGGCTAAATTGAGGAAGCGTATTTGTGTCTTACGACAGGCACTGCCAACCTTTTCACTGTTCTTGTACTTGTCCCATTTCTTCACCATCTTCAGCCATTTTTGAACTCGTTCAATATCCTGGTGCTTTTGCTAGGAAGAACAAACAGAGACAAACAAATTGTCCACTACAGAAATAGAGAAAATGGAAATGCATTGCACAAACACACACACAAACAACCTGTCCTTACCTTCTCTTCAAGTGCAGTAGGTGTTGGGAGTTCTTCCTCACTGGAGCAAAAACAAATACAAAATAAATTAATGATGTAAACATTGTGTTTAATAGTCACTTTGATCATTACCATATGAGAATAGTGAGAGGCATAAAGACAGAGGACAGAAACACAGATACAGATACTACTTGTAAATACTTCAACATAGCTTACTGCAGGAAGCCGAAGCGGTCCGTGACTTTATAGATGTTGTAGTTGGCATCCTCCCATGGGTCAATGTTAATACCATCTTGTCTGCCCTAAAACATCAGATAATACAGATTGAAAGTATTAAAAAAAAAAAAATCTGTCCCTTCCTTGCGCTTCAGCACATACAATTTGAAATGTTGGAATTTATATCAAAACAAGAACTAATATATATTACTAATCCTTATAACTCAAAGCAACAAAGTTAAGAGATTCAGTAAAATTAGGAAATATATTCATGAAAGTACAAAAAAACATAACTCTCAGTTTTGTAGGATTTTTTCTTTCCAGTTTACAAGCAGAACAGCTTTAGAATGACCATGTTCATGACCAAACCAGGGCCACAAATGTTTTCACTCATGATGATTGTAGTCCTGTAGACCTGCTTACCTTGTCATATTTAGAGATGATTTCAGCCCGTTCCTCTTCTATCAGTGCATCTATATCTTTCTTCATGTCAAAGTCTAGGAAGAGGCAGATAAACAGGCTGTCAATAATCATCACAATCAGTGTAAACATCACTAATGTGATCTAAATATCTACTTTAGAAGACATTGTAACCAGGACCTTTTCTTCCATCACTAGCATGGATAAAGCGCAAGATGAAAGAAACAAAAGATGACACTGACTTGTTTAAATAAAACACACATAACTGTGACATACTCAGACAGTTGATAGGGAAGCCCTTGAGACATTCTCACCAGATTTATTTTAATGACAGAACGTGTTGCGGTGCACAGAACAAATATCACTGGAGGAACTAAACCACAGTCACCATATGGACAGAACGATGATTTAGCCTCTGCTCAAGACTAAACTCTTTCCCACACGAGTATGTGACGATGGTTTATCTTGAACCAAGAAGATAGCATTTATGGTCAAATCTTTGGTTTCAATGAAGAACAACCAATACCATAATTAGGAATTTAACAATTGTGTAGCCCTACTCATATCACTTAGCCAACATAAAACACCAAAGGAACAGTCATTTGAAAAAATTTACAAATCTGACATCAAATGCTAAAGCCTGGATAATATGCTACAGGCATGCTGAATACTTTAAGGAGACGTACCAATTTATAAGCCACAGAACCTTATGTTTACAAATTATTTGTTTATTGTGTTAAACTGAGGTTCAATACTCAGAATGAATCAGTTGCTTCAAACAATAACCAAACAATTTTCAAATAATATTCACCATTCTAGTGTGATTTCATTTAGTCAACGTGATTTGGCTTTTTGACACTTCAAAGCAGTTCTGGGTTTGAACTGTCAAAAATGTAACTTGTAAATCCATCTCATCAGCCTGAGTCGACCAGTTTAGATTAATCCCCAAAACATCCATTATAAAGGTTGAGGGAATCTCGTCAAATAATTTGTGCAGTGAAGACTTTATACACAAGCCATCACTGTAACTCCTACTTTCCATCCTTAGGACACACAGGGTGTGCACAGGGTTTCTTCTTTCGGCTGCTCCCTTCCTCAGGGGCCACCACAGTGAACCAACTTGAAGACTTGGCTGTTTTTACACCGGATGCCCTGAGAATTATTCTTGTTCGTTTTCTGACTTAGACAAATTTAACATTACATTAATCAAGTAGGTTTAAGTAAAAACACTTGAATTTCTACTGAAAAATAAAAGTGGTATGTACAAACCATACTTGTTTATTCACTATATTTGAGGTTTAGTTATAAATAGTAATATGAAATATGACAAAGTGAGAAATATGAGGGTATTTTTTCTAGTATGTGTATGTGTGTGTGAACAGTCAGAACATGTATGCACTAGCATGAAGAAGGAGAAGACCTGAGGTTTGTTCTCCTTTTTGCACTACGTAACCCTGACCTGACCAGTTGGACTCTAGATTTCTGTGATCTAATGTTTTTTAGCAGCTTGGCTCAGGGAAAGAAAAGCATCACCTCTAAATTTGCCATATCAGCACTTCAGAGGGGTGTTTGGATGCAGAGAAAATACTAGCTACATTTACCAAAACATGTATGAGTTAAAAATATGTACAAAAACCTTAAGCAGTCTCACTTTTTTGACTGTTAGCTACCATCTGAAGTTTATTTTAAACTACAATTTAGGGAACTAAAACAGTGCTGCACAGCTAAAAGCTGTCATGGCAGATTCAAGCTAAGAGCATAAGTAATAGTAGATCTGGTTTATTGCCATGCCAACAACAATAGTTGCATCATGGCAATGAGGTGTAATAAACAAGCATACATTTGTCTTTAAACAAGAAATTAAAGTTTTAAATCAATATTTCACAGAAGTTTAGGAATTTTTTGTGACACAAAAAACTTTTCTATGTCGTTTTGACAATTAACACCGTTGCCTTGATTCAAGCTAAGAAAAGCAAGACGACTTTGATTTGAATGCATGGCGAGAAACAAAAACGCATTCAGAAATCTGAATAACTTTTAATGATCAGTTCAAACTATCCTGACTCGTGCTCAATAATCCAGGTTGAAAAATCCAACAAAGTTAAGTCACAGTTTGTTTTTGTTGAAACGTTTCATCTATTAAATTTAAACATTTAAGAAACCGTCCAGAGGACCCGACTTAACTTTGCTGGATCAGTTCAAACGTTATTGTTTGAAAGGTTTTTAAAGCTGAAAGGCAGCAAGGTTTACTTCAGCCCCTCTCAGTAACGTTCGATTTGACAAGCGAGTACGTAGCTACAAATGTTGTGCTCACCATTACTGATGATTTGCCAGCTGGGGCAGCATGCATTTCTGACATGGCAGGCACAAACAGGTGGGAGAACACCTGCTATTTCAAACAAAGACCCTTCAGTTTTCCCTAACACTCGTATGCTTTGTTTCACTATGGGATATTTCTGTCTGAACCGACTTCCCCAATATAATGAGCTCTCGTGGCTGAAACAGCTGCCACACAGACAAAGTCATCAAAATCAGACATTTATTCACATTTAATTACATTTGTGTTGATTAAGACCCACAAGTCATATCTTAGTCAAAACAACTGACTCACTTCGATGTTGAGGTTTTTATTTATTTCTACAATGTCCCTTTTCTTCTCAGATGCTTTCAGTCTTTCAATGTAATAATTTAAACTTTTGAAAAAGTTGTCTGTAAGATGCTGTTTCTAACCCGTCTCCACCATGTCTGTCAGGATAAAGAGAAGATGCTTGGCATGAACTCCCAGCTGCAATGTAAAGTAAAAGATGAAGCAATATGCCAAAAAAATTGTCTGGCACCTTACAAATGCCGTCTCTCAGGGCGTGTGGGTATCTAAAATTGCCACAAAAATCACCTCTTTACACCAAAATTGATAAAGATTACAATAAAAGCCACTTGTTTTTGTTTTTAGCCCATTTACTTCGTTGGAAGGCTTCTGGGTTAAACATTAGACAGAACTTTTATATGAATTTCTATTTGTGCAGAATCTTTTTTAGGAGCTTTAATTTTCGTTTTTTATATAAATACGAGTATGTTAAAATGAAATGATTCTATACCAAGGTTCAAGCTCAATAATCCAGGTAAAAATCTAACAATGTTCAGTCAGGTCATCTTGGCAGTGTCTTTTTTTGCTGAGACGTTTCGTCCTTCATCCAAAGGACTTCTTCAATCTGAGGAGCCCCCAAACAAACAGAGTCCCACTAAATGATTCTATGATAGCCTTGTGATGGACTGTAAACATTTTGTGTATATAAAACTTCTAAAATGATCATATATGACACTCTTATCTGTTTTATTATTAGGGAAACTATACAGCATTATTTTTCATCTGACTACACTTTTCATACCCAAAGTTAATCATTTTGTCACAATATAAAAACAAAATGACCAGAAATTTATATAAACAGCCCAAGTAAAACATGACTTACTTACTTCAAGGCTATTTCTGATGTAAAAATGTGCTTCTTTTTTTTCAATTCAAACATCACTGGAGCTGCTTTGAATCCCTGTGCATTTGGTAAATCACTATAAAAAGGCTTATGTTTTTGCCATATGTCCTCATGCTTACTTCCTGTGTTGAGTCTTCAGAGTGCCGATACTATTGTTTTGCTATTAGACAAAAAAGGAAACGTGTGGCCACCCCTTCAATGACTGGTTTAGTAAGAGATGCAACCAGCTGTGTTCTCCCACCTAAATCCTTTTTTGACCAGCAATGCTTGAAAATGCCCAGCCATAGCAAATAAAGGTGTGGTTAAAAACCACAATGTGCATTCAGCTTATGTGAATTCCACTTGACTCATAAGCAAAATAATCAGGGAAAAGGAGAAGCAAATGGATAGCTGTTGTGGTTAGCTCATTGAGACTTACTTTAAACAGCAAACTGAGGAAGCTAGTAGTTGGAGATCTTTGTGTGGAACAGATGGTAGCAAGTGGGCGACAGTGAACAAACCGAAGAGGAGGTTACTGAGTGGGAGAGAGCTCTCACAAATTTCACGTGTAAGAGGTGTTTATAAAGAAACAACAAAAAACTGACAAACGGCCTTATGTTTATACAGATGACATAAAGTGCATTTAAATATACTAAAAGTGCACCAAAACACAACTTTCTTATAGGGCTAAATGTTGACAGCCTGGCTGCTGACAGGATAGAAGACTTTGAACCTGAGGCTTAGGTGACATCATTTCCTGTTATGACATAGAGCTCTAAATTGAGCTTGTGTATATAAGATCTCACTGCCTTGTTGAAACCACAAACAGCTTGCAAAGCATTCTGAGTCACATACAGCTAAATGCAAGGTTGTGAGCAGAAATGGTACAGTAAAAACTTATTTTCCTGATTTGGCATCAAAATGAAAGTTTTGCATACCTGCATAGTGTCTAACAGGTACAACCAAGACATTGTGAATAAAAGAAATGTAAATGGGTGAATGGTTGGCTTAAAAATGCTCAACAAGCTTATAAAGAAGGCTGGTTCAGTTCTGGGGACTCCTCTAGAGCCTTTGGAGATGATTGTACAAAGAATGATTCTTCATGAAATGAAGAACATTACAGACAACACTGCACCATCTTCATCAGACTGTCATACAACAATAAAGAGTGTCTTCAGTGTAAGACAGACCGCTATAAGAGATCCT